TTTCAACGTCATTTCAAATTCAAATCATAATGACCGCCTACAATATTTTCCCTCTTCTAAAGATTGTATCGAAGATTTACCCTAGACTCACCACATTCGTCATTTCGCTATATATAGTTACCACTGTTGATATCAAATTCATCACACCAGCTAAGCAATATTTAGCTTACATACTCCCTCTTGCAAAGTATGCGATGTCGACCTTCACATTCCTCACTGCCCTGAAGCCATTCAAAACTCAATGGAGGATCCGTGTCAAGATACTGAAGTTGTGGAAACAGTATTTGAATGGGATCGAGACGATGGAGATGGTCGTTGTCGATGAACTGGTATTGTTTTGTACTTTGTTTGTTCGATATTCATACTGTTCCATTTTGATCATATATATATTATATAACGTTTTGCTTATTATTATATTGCCATGCAGAATCAAACTATGCATGTTAGTATGAAGAAGCAGTTCATAAAAAAATTTGAAAATCTTCTAGAGGAAGGAACTACTAAGATCATCACTAATTTTCAAGTCACTCACAACGGTGGTAAGTTCAGGACTACTTCTCATGTTTACAAGATCCAGTTTGCTGCCACGACGTCTATCAGACCTTCTGAAGATCTGGATGCCACAATTCTTGGGTTGAAGTTGGTGAACTTCGCTGATATTCACGAGGGCAAGTTGAATCCTGATTTTCTAATAGGTAAATGGTATATTTATATCTCGCATACATTACTAATATGAACCAAAGCATATTACATCTAATTATTGGTTTATGTTTTTATTTTACAGATATTGTTGGACAAATTGTTAGTATTGGTGAGGTTGAGATTCTCAACGTTAACAAAAAACAGACCAAACGTCTAACAATGACACTTCGTGACACCAGGTTTTTTAATTCCCTTTGACACCTAAATATTGTTAATAAGACGTCTAATATATTTTTTGTCTTTTAGTGATGTGCGCCTGAATTTTGTTCTCTGGGGGAATTATGCCGAAAGTTTGGAGAGTGTTGCTACACATGCAACTAATGCTACCATTTGTTTCGTGTTAAGATTCGGAAAGTTAAGATTGTATCAAGGTACGAAACAAATGTTTTTGTTAACAAAAAAAATATCGTTTTTTTAAAATATATATAACTTTCAAGACATTTCATTATTTAGGTGTATGGAGTATTGACAATTGTTATAGTTCTTCCATTGTGATGACAGATCCTGATCTCCCTGAAATAAATTCTTTTAGAAACCGGTATATTCATATCTATAACTTTTATCAATTTTCCTTTTAGTTTACTTTCATGTCCCTAAAATCCATGATTTTTTTTTCCTTTACAGCTTACCAAAAGATGATGTGACTTTGTCATACACACACCCTAACCAATGACC